CAGACAGCCTGTTTTCTACTTTATTCCTGCTCTTTGAGGTTCTTTGCACCTGCAAACATCTAGACATCAATCAGGCATGCTTATTTACATCCCTACCTCAGAGTCTGTCCTCCAAGAAAGCGTAACTCCGTCATTATTTTGGTATGTAGTTTCTGCTGTTCTCCCTTTAAGCATGAAGGCCTTGCTAATACAGTAAGTAAAACACCTGCCCTCAATTTCAAAGAACAATAATTAAAAGTACCATATCCCGGGGATGTAATGAAAAGTTCTAGGACAATTTAAGTGAAGCCAAGTATTCATTAAGACCTTTGAAATAAACTTATCAAGATGTGCCATCAGCTTTACAAGTGGTCACGTTACACAGATTTGACCAGCAGGAACAAATTAACCTCTGAGTCCTGTATAAGGTACCCTTTGGATTCAAAATTTCCAGAAAAGAAGAGACTGCTTGAGGAAAGCATTGAATGCTAATATTTTCTTTAACTAAATAAAAGTCCAACCCCCAAAACCATGAAGAAACAACACAAATGAAATTTATGATATCCCCCAGCTGCTGACAGCTTTGCTTTATTCAGCGCTTACTTGTATCAGTGAGACTTTTATTTTTGAAGGGCAGGAGTAAAGGATTAAGGTTTTGTGCCTTTCATTTAATATCCAGGGTGTCCTTATAAACAGTCAGTCTTCAAAGAGGGAGAAAAAAAAGGACCAGCCTTTAACAATACCTCAGGTAAACCCACCAAAACAAGGTCAATGGTCTGGGTCATTTCTAAATGTATATAGAAGAACACTGCACTTCAGAGACACAGGGCTGCAGGGGCTATTCACACAGATAAACAAAAGACTGGTAAGACAGCTAATGGCAGCCAAACTATATATATAGGCATTCATTTTTTTCCCTTCTGCTTTTCCTTTTCATTTAGAATCCTTCTTTTTGTTCTGCAGGACAGTGGGATGCTTGTGCCCTTTCTTGCAGTCCCATTGGCATATTCTGGGCAGCTGATATTTATCTGGGACTGTGATTATACAGTGCTTCATTATCTCTTGGGTGTTTCAAAAATGCATTAAGATAAGTCAGCATATTGGGGAAAAGACTGTTTTGTGAGAGATAAACCATGCTGTTTCACAGGGGTACATGGATTTGACCATATTGTCCGCAAGTGAATTTATGACTTCAGAGAAAACATGAACACTAAGCTATACATGTTTGCAACTAACATCAGTACAGAGGGAACATGATTTACACTGGAATTTCTCCAGAACTGAGATTATCTCTATACTTTCCATTGTCTTTATGATAATTGCCATCAGAATTTGTCAATATGCTTTGGGATCACAGATGCTACCATAACAATAAAACAATTAGATTAATAAAAAGATCCCTGACCTCCCAGTCTGCATTGTGCAGAGGATTTTCACTATGGTGAAAATACTTAGGTGACGTTGACTATACTTAGGTGACGTTGACTCACTATGGCAGCCTCCTTTACAGCGAATAATGAAGACATGAGCTGCAGGAAATAACACGAGTCCCTGAACCACCTAGGCTTCACAGCCAGAACCTCTCAGTTTCTGGTGGAATTAGGAGCTAGTTCTGTTTATTGAAGCGTGATCTATCCTGTCCTTGAATTATTGCTCAGAGAAGGTATCCCATAAGACCAGATAACCACCAGTGTCTTAAAGTGATGCTGCTGTCTAGCTTGTCCAAGGCACTGGTTGTTCCCTTGCTTGAGCAGAAGGCTGGAAACATTACCCATGTGCAATGTTGGGCACATTGACCTACTGCCTTTGGATGTAAATATTTACAGTGTACACACACACAAATGTATGCAATCAGACCCGTATGTGTAAAAGACATTGCAAAATAATTGTCCATAAGGATTTGAACTAGGCTGGGATCTGTTAGGCTCCAGTGCTTGACTGTTGTGAACTGGTCAAGTCCCAAGGACATCAGTGAGAAAAGAGAACTAATTAAAAGGAAAGTGGGAGCTCAGGATTTGGGTGTTTACATATTGTTGAGATGCTGAGCGACTGCCACAAGAGTTTGCCCTGCTTTAGCAGCAATGGTGGTTGCAAATACCAAAGTGGCTGCAATTACTCATCTCACAGAGAGCTGGCCCAAGTAGAGTCTGTACTGACAGCTCAAAGGCCTCCTTTAGAATGATCTCCTTCTAAAACAGGTTTTATCAATGCTGTTTCCCAAGAATCCAGGTTTTTCAAAAAGGTTCTGCTGAGCTCTTCATGAAAAAAGCCACACAGGTGAAAACACTCCACATTGAGGACGAAGGCTCCCAAATTCAAATGAGGGCTTAGCAAAACCAAATGCCACTGTCAGCATGTCTCTAGTATATGAGAGCTCTTCTCTTTTTTTTGCTTACAATGCAGTCTCTAAGTTCAAAGTACAAGAGGCATTGCTCCCTGCAAATGGTTTGTGATAAGGGCATAAATCTATTTAGCTTAAATGACACTGCATTTCTAAACCGCTTAGTGGCAGAAGCCATTTTTGTGGGAAAACCAAATTTTTAGGGACACTTTATTGTTACAGGGTTTCCTGGAAATATGCTCCAAATTCATGCTGTGGGTCACAGTCAGGGTGTTCTTGTTATCTCAGACCACCTGCCCATGAAGGAGGCTACTGTCATAGCCTCCTCCTCACTTTTCTCACCCTATCAAAAAAATCACCAAAGTCCAGCCCTCCTTCCTCCAAGGTGATCGTATAGTGTTCCTGATTTCTTCTGTTCCCTGACGATTAAACAGATGTGTATGCCTAGATGAAGCCCAGTGCCCTTCCTCACAAATGCTGTAGGTGTTTTATATAGATAGAGGTAGGCTGAGAGAGGGAGGTGAGGGAGCACCCCGCCAAGGGCTTCTGATGTCTTTCATATCAGGAAGGTCTCCTGCTGCTGAGGTTGGTGCCGTTCCCCTGGGTGGTTGTGGGCATCCTTGGCGTGGCTGTGAGGGAGATCCTAGGGACACTTCCATGGCATATGCTATGGGCATTTGGTACTGCGCAGGTATCTTGTCAGAGGACCTGTAACCAATCTCTAGCTACCATGCCGAAAGTGCGTCTGAAGCACCCAAGAGCTGATAGACATGTAAAGAGAAGTTAATTTGCTATCAGCTTGAGCTGTGAGGATTATAGACTGCTTCCAGGGATGATGCAGTCTACCCGTCCTGCAGGTACTGCTGATGATTTCATCAAGGAAAAGTGACACCAGCCACAGCCAGGGGCAAGAGAAAAAGATCCACCAGCATTTTCCCCTAATGTTAAGTGGAAGAAGAAGGTTGAAGCTTAAGATGCTGTAAAGACCAGCACTATAACCAGGCCTCCAGCTCTCTGCTAAGAATGACACAGTGCATGAACAGGATCTGAAACATCATTGTTTCTGCACTGCGGGGAAAATGCCAATCCAGTTCTTTAGGATCATCCCTCCTTCATCAGCCAGTTTCTATCAAAGGCTCTATAACTGCGGGAACCAGTAGCCTAGAAAATGGCAGATCATTAAACCTCTGCTTGGTTTCAAAACCCCACTGCCTCCAGGGAACAGATGGATTTTGTTTAAAATGCCTTTGAAATATAAGTTGTCATTGAAAGGGTCTGCTCATCTTGGCTCAGTTTTGTGCAGATAATTACATGCTTCCTCCCCTGCTTTACTGATGAGGCTGATACAGACCATGGTGCTGGTCAATGAGGCTAAGTGCCAAGTTGGGACAGCCACCTCCCAGCTCTGGTGTGATACTTGTAGCTGGGGACTCCCTCACACATGAAATATGGTATTTTTATACTCAGAGGCAACTCTGAGTGTCAGATACATACAGCCCTGGCTCTTCTGTGAGAAGGCAACAGGATTTTGCCCTGCTACCATCAGCTACCTGCAGCTTACAGGGCAGAGGGAGGTTAAAATACCCAGTTATCTTACAAGGCTTCTCTCTGCATCAAGATTGATGGCTGCCTTGTGCAGGAGGAGGAGATGACAGCAGCTTGTCACAAGACTGATGTATACCTTAGCAGCAGCAGCAGAAACAAAGCTTTTCTTTCAAATGTATTTCACAGAAAGAGTTGTTTCCACTGCCAGCTTGCAGAGTATGGAGCAGGGATGATGTGTGGATCTCCAGGAAGCCAGATGACTAACCCCGCATCTATGGTAACATGAGCCCATTAGTAGTTTTCAATGCACTTAAATGAAACTCCTTTTTTTTTTTTTTCTGGAGTAAATAATAACAAATTGTGCAGGAAACACCTTTCTGCTGCTACTGAAAACCTGTTTTCTGGAGTGTAGTATAAACATCTCTGTTTACCTTTCCTCAAATTCAAAGAACTTAAAGCAATTTTTGTCACATGTTACTAATAAATTGCTGTCTGAATGTTAAGAACTTGTCTTGTTCAGGTACCATGTATCCTGCTTAGCCTAAAGTCTCTGTGCAACATATTGGAAAAGGTTATTTGTACTGTCTAGTGCTTTGGCTGAAAGATAGACTGCTGTTTGTTGACACATCCTGCCAGATCTATGCACATAAACAGTTTGCCTGTGTGCGTGCTGATGACCTCTCCATCACCTGTACAGTGGGTCCAAGGTGTACAGAACACATTGAGCTGATTAGGCACATTCAGCAGCCACTCTCCCTACGTTGTGCAATGCACATTTACCAGGAAATGGGCGTTGCACAACCCTGGGAGTAAGGCTGCCCAACATGGTAACTCAGTAGATTGCCACCCCAAACAGGAGGGCAATAAACACCCAAAGCAGTCCCTATCACTAACGTTGGTAGGGCTGGCAGGCCAGAGGTAGATCTTTAGCTCAAAAGGTGGCTCTCCAAGTTTTTGATGGCAAGAGTGAAGAGTTACCATCGCTGTGACTCATCCAGGAGCTACGACCATCTACTGTGACTCAGACAGTGGAAACATTCTGTGATGTCTGTTGCTAGGTATTGCAATGTACATAATTGTAAAATAACAGGTGTGGTTTTTCTCTAAGAGAAAGTTTGGATATAGAGGCACTCACCATGAAGTGGGTGGTCCACTGGGAAATCACACAGCTGCTCTTCCTCTTCTTCATGTTTTCTTTTGCCTTCCAGGTGTTCACGTCCTATGTCCTCACCCAGAAGGGACACTGGGCTATCTCTAGGTCTTCCGCAGTGAGTTGCCTGCACTCTCTTTGCTCTGGCAATGGGTGTAGCACATGTGGTGGAGAGAAGCATTTTGGCTGAAGGTAAGTCACATTCTAACCGACTCCTGCTGCTGGAATCTGTGAAGGACACAGCACAAGACAGCTTTCAGTAAAGCAACCACCATTCAGCGCAGCTTCTAGTTTGTGTGAAGAAAATGGCCTAGATACTGTACCATTCTAACCCGATCATATTTAAAATGGCCTCAATCCTTCTGCACATCAATGCCAAGATTACCCCATGTTGCAGGGACAGGATCCCGGTGAATTTGACCACTAAATCTAGCCTGTTCTCTGCTTCCTTCCACCTTGAAACTTTCAATGATCCTCATGGGAGATTTTTAAAAAAGGACTGTAGAAATAAGGAGACATGACCAAAGGATCAAGAAACTTCAGCTTCTCTGTCAGTATCCAAATTAGTGGTTGCCTGTTCTGAAGAACTCAGAAATACAGTAGATATGGAGCTGCTCTGAAAATCTGATGGTAGGATTGTTGTGGAATTTGCTGGATGCCAAATGCTTTTAAAAATATGGTCCTTCCCTAAATCTCCCTGTAAGTGCATCTATGCTATAGGAAAATGGGCCAATGAATAGGATAAAGGTCAGTGTCTGACCATCAGTTTGGTCTTCATCCAGCTGCCTGCTGCTCTGGTTTAGGCATTGGACAATTCTAAAGGCAGCCTTTGCCCAGGCTCTCAACATTTCCATCTGCTTTTGTGACAGGTGACACTGGTGATATTTGGGAAGGTACTGACAGCCAACTCATCTTCATGAAAGCACCTGCACACTCTTGTTGACAGGACAAACAAGAGAAGTACATACTGGCCCATTTTCATTAAGTGCAGCTGTAATGTTAACTTAGATTTGAGCATGGATGTTATAAACAATCTCTAAGGTAACCTCAGCAGCAACCAGTGATGACATGTGCTAGGACACCTGCAGTTAGGAAATTGGTCACAGAAGCCACAATCTTTCTTCAGCCACAGTGTTGCCTTACTGCTGACAGCATTATCTCAGTGTGTAGCAGGGGCACCTCAAAGATCTTCCAGATTAGTTTTCTGCCCTCATGAATATGGTATGAGTTCTTATTCTTCCTTGTAAACGGACCTTGCAAAGCCATGCACTGAAATATAACATGCTGGGAAGCTTTGTGGTTCAAAGTAGTGGCTGTCTGTGGCTGTTGGCATCCCAAGAGAAGTATATCAAATACTCCCACTCTCCACCCTCCTTCTTTTCTATATTAAAGCTTTGCCATAAACCCCAATGCTGAATTCTTTATGTGCTGCCTTTGGTAGTTGCAATCAAAGCTTAGGCTTGACTCTTCAGAGACAAGACAACTGTGTTTATGCTGCTTTAATGGCAAATCTAGAATTTGCTCTAGTTTTCCTCCATGCCTGGATTTCTTTGCTTGGAAAGGCAGTCTAAGAGGCAACACATAAACATAACATACCCATTGGGGAATTTTAGTTCCATGGTTTGTGAGACCCTGAAGCAATTGTGACAGTACAGGTTTGTCTTCTATTACTGCCAAAGAACATTAAAATCTTGATGCTATAAAGGACTGCACTCCTGAGCAGTCACACACACCTACATTCTGGGGTTTGTGGCACTTGTGACTGGTCCCCTCTGCCCTCTCATATCTAAATGGAAGCAGATGTGAACCATTACAGGTAGTACTGGAAGAAACTTCACTTTTTAATATACATTTTACAGATATATTTTATATATTTAAGTTGTCATATCTGGCGTTGGCAAAGCATCTAACTTTTTAGACTTGTTGGAAGTTAATTTTCTGAGCAAATAACAAGTTCTATTTGTAACCAGCTTAGGAGCAATGATAAATATAACATCTGGAAACAAAGCACCCAATTCCAATCCTGCCCTCAGTAAAAGCCCACACAATGGGAATTTTATAGAGGATTGACACTGACATGAAGTTATAAGAGCTCTGAAAATTAGCCAAAGCCTCATGTAAATACAGGATGGTTGTTCAAATGTTATCTATTCAAATCATCACCAATCTTTGAGTAACCTTCTAAAGATGATTACATATGTCCAGCCATGCAGATCTTAAAAACCTGGTATGAGGCCCACCTCTGTGTTTGAGGCATATTGTGCAAAATTGGATTAACTTAATTCCTTTAGTATCAACTAACTTTGAGTTTTCTGGTGAGAAAACAGGTGAGGTTTTGACCAATATTTCTGGGATAAAGAAGAAGGATAGACCTGGGAGTGGTCACAAGCATGGGGCTTCGGTTAAATGATTTGCTCAAGAACTCAGAGGATATCAGTGTTGGCATAGGTTCTTAGCACCCAGGATTTCTATCTCAGTAACCCATCCCTAAATTAAGGACTACTTGCATTCCTTTGCTAAATGTGATGCTGTGAAAATTAATATGTTACAGAATTGTTGATGCTTATATCCTACAGTAATGCAAAATGTAAGGTACGCAAGCAAGGTGCTCTTATGGGGAGTTATTAAAGCTTTCTAAGAGTGACATTATCATTTTCTTAATTATAGAAGACTTTTCACATGTCTTCATCCTTCGTATACAACTTGCCTCCCCAAAATTTTTCTCTGAGATGTTCACATACCCCAGTGAGAGGGGTAAGAGCATAACTTATGTATGAGCATGGATAGAGTAATTACAGACCGAAGTAGGGAGAAGAGGGAGAGAATGGAAAACAGTTATAGATAGATGGGAAGATGCCAATGTCTTTGTGAGTTGGTGAAAAGGAGGTGGAAAATCTGTTGTTTGAGACTGAAGAAGCAAATTAGAATGGCATGAACCTTAAGGAGAGGCTGAATAAATCAAGGAGGTTTTCTGGAGGACAAGACTGAAGGTAGATATTACCAAGTTTAAAGCACATAGCTCAGAGTTAGGATCACTAAGGTCTAGTCAAGTTTTCATTGCAACCTTCTCTGGTGCTTGTTGTCCTGACCAACTAAGAAGATTGTTGGAAGTCGTGACTCTTTAGGCAGGGAGCTCTGAAAAATACCCATGAACTGGCATGGGGTAAAACTTCCCTCAGGGAATGCAGTTTTGTTTTGTTTTGTTTTGTTTTTCAGGGATGGCAATAACATTTCAGCTTAGCACAACATGAGATATTTGTTGCTGTCACACAGAAATGACTTTGACTTGTGGCTCAAAATGGTCTCTTTGCCTTGACTTTCAGTTGTATAGAAAAGAATGGAAAATTTCAGGGAAGATAGTAGGGTTTCACTTTGGAAGCAGTAGGTTATTTCAGACGACATAAGTTCCATTTAAGCCTCACTTTTGTTTTTAACCCAGGTGTATCTGATGTGTGGTTTTTCCTTAGAATAGGTGGGGTAATTTAGTGGTATTGGCCAGGTGGTATCTGTTCAGTTAGATTCCTTCAGCTTGTTTCCTCTTTTGTGAGTGGGAGTACTGGTGGAGTACTGCTAAAAGTGAACAATCACAATATTGACATTTGTGTGTGAAGCAATGGTCGTATTCCTATTAATTTCCACATCTTTAACATAATGGAGCATAACACAGGCAGAACGACAAAATTACTGTATCTGTTACTGCTTTTACTGTTAATTCCTCATCCCAAACTCTCCCTGACTTGATAAAGGACCTCCTGCAGGCGAAACCTCACTGGTAGAAACATCATTTCAGATGTACTTTCAAGTACATTGAAATCACGTTCCTAGGAATTTCAGAAGAATGATTTTTTTCTGAAATAAACCTGATATTCTTCTCTATTTTAGATGAAAGAGTTGGGACTAGGGAGGAGATCAGCCCTTGCTAGGTGTTTATTTGGGTCCATTGCAAAGGCCATGGTTACCCCTTATAGCTATTCTGACAAAAGTATGAGAGGAAAAGCATAGACTGCATACTAAAATGTGTCCTTGTTCATTATTTGTTTTTTAACTTGGTAAGAGTCTTTCAGAGATTTCAGTAGGTTTCAACAACTGGATCTCCAGATTGTCCAATAGTTGTGCTTGTATAGCAAACTCCCCAATGTCTAATACTGCAACTGGGAAGCCAAATGCTTCAGAGAAGACTGCACACTCCTTACTCCAAGTCCCACTGGAATTACACTCACAAAAAATGTGAACTTAGAAGTCAGGCCCAGAGATCTTCTCATATATGATCAAGTCCCACCCCAGCTTCCTATGAGAGGTTGGCACTGTACATCACAACATCCTTTTTGTCAGAGACTCGTAGAATAATTTAAGTTAGATGCAACTTCTAGAAATCATCTGGTCCAGCATTCATGAGTTTCCTTGGGAAGCTTTGTCTATGCCCCTCATTTAGGATCATAAGTTGGAAAAGGCCTCTAAGATCATTGAGTCTGAACATTAGACCACTGAGTCCAACCATTTCTGACATTCTGCATCTTCTGTTTCTCCGGTCCTACTCATCTCCTTGGCTCATAATGGCTAGATTTAGACTTCAGGTGTGATCTTGATACGTAGTCTGTCTACATCAGATGATGATTCTTCGGCCTCAGTATTTAAATTACAGTAGCCACAAGTATGTATGTAGTACCATACAGTTCTCATATGCCATATGGATCTTCCTTCCTCTCATATAGATCATGGTTTTGGACAGATACATACCACAGGGGATGTGGGAAATGTTCTTAAAATCCATAGTGAGATATAACTCAGCCCTGACCTTTAGTACTTCCTTCTTTGCTGCAACCGAACTCTTATGAGAAAGCAGCTGAACTTGTGTCCCATCTGGAATTTCCAACAAATTCCCTAGTTCATTTCAGTTCCCTGACCTTGGCCAGCACTGAGCCATACTAGATATGGCTGACTATTTACACAAGTTGTTTAATGCCACTGTTATATGGCATGAAGTTAAACAACTTTGATGAAATACGGCAATTATCCCTAGATGTACAGCATAGGGTATTGTATTTCTGAAATAAATAAAACTTACCTGAATAAATCACATTTCTGTTCAGAAAGCAAAGGGTAATAAGCTTAGGTATCTCTTTGATGTTAGTAAGAAACAGTGAAAAAGTTTCTCATTCATTCTCTTTTTTAAACATCTTCGATCAATTGCAAAAGCAAAGTACAACATTTTTGAAGATTTCTACATCTTTCCTGTTTTCTCACCTCCAGTAACAGTCAAGTGAATCTTCAAGTGTGTATACTGTTCTCATTAGGTAACATTTAACATTGTCTTAAGTATTTTAATCCAACCTTGCTTTCTAGCAGGGGTGAGAGGAGTCGTCATATTCCCTTGGTACAGCTAAGTCTCTCTCTGTCTAGGTGATGAAGCAAAGTTAAAGGCAAGGCCTGGTGGTTCTGTTTACATTTCTTTCAAGGTGAAAAACTGACTGTATGCTCAGGTGGAGCAATTTGGGTTGAGGCTGCACTGGAAGGCAGTAATACAATCCTAGGAACCTACCGTGTCCTGCATACAGATTTGTCAGACCTCGTGCTTGGAGCAGCGCGCTTAGCCAAGACACGGAGTGAAACTGGGCTTCAACATGTTGATCCTGAAACAGACTTCATATAAAAATGTCCTGTCTCTGCCGTGCTTCTCTGTTCCCAGAGAAGCGTCTCATGTAGTTAAAAAGCAATTCTATGGCCTGTGTTATGAACAAGCACTGACTGAGTTTTCAGTGATGTTATCTGTCTCACTTTGGAACCAGTGGCACAAAGTGACTGCTGTGGGCCCTCAAGAAAGGACTTTCAGCTCACAAAAACTCACTCCTACAGCTCACACCAACATTTCTCCCCCTTCACGATGTGGCACCTGTGTTCCTTTGGCACACAAACCCCACTGCATTTGCACCAGCATCAGCTTGTCCTTGTCCACCCCTACAAACTACCAAGCTCTTGCTTGTACCAGGACCAGTTGTCCGGTTCCAGTCTGTAAAGGCAGCTTTAGGAAACCTCTGAGCACTCTAGTTCTCTAACAGTACCAGCGGTGAAACAGCCAAGCAACACTTGCCCTGGCCTTCAACAATCTTGTCTATCTTTGAAACAGCCCTTTCTTTGAGCAGGAGGCTGTACCTTGAGAGGTTCCATCCAACCTCAATTACCCTATGGTTCTGTGAAAAATCAGCAGCATGCTATCCCTTTTCCCCATACATAGGTTTCCATGGAAAGCTGCAGCTACTGGCACAAAGGCAGCAGTCAGATACTGAGTCCCAATGCCTGGGGTTTCCCCAGCTGTGAGATGTGTGGTGAGCTGCCTGTCCCATGGTCAAGAGACGAGTCTGTACAGAGTAAGTGAAGTTATCCTGTGTCAGAGATAAACAAAAAATCTTGTGCAAAGCATAGCAGTGTTAGGGAGCTCTAGTCCAACCGGTGACTAATGTTACACTAGTGAGTACTTTCCTTCCCCATTAGGTCTTGTTTGCTTTCCAGTCCAGGTCAGTATCCAGTTTAGACATAAAAGGAGATGAAACTATGCAAATAGACAATGGTTAGTTGGACTGACAGGTTTTTGGAAAAAGACTCTCTCCCTTACTAATGGGTGGTTCATTCAGTGTCCTGGGAAATGGGGTGCTGGGACATATTACAGAAAATAAAGTGTAGCATTTAGCTTTGTTGAAAGCAGTTGAGTGAGAGGTGAGTGAAAATTTTCTCTCAAAACTACAGGTCATTTTTCATTTGAGTGGATGTGTTTGTATACATAAAACATATCCTTTTCATGGAAGATGTAGATTAAAAAAGAAGAAATATTAAATCCAGAAAATGTTGGGTATCGGTCTTTGTTTAAGGAAAAAAAAGAGACTATCTCTCTTGTTGACTATTTCAGTGGGGGTAAATGTTCACTCTAGGCCAAACTCAGCTAAACTGAGAAAACTGAAGTCAAAAAGGCTAATGCAGTTGCTGCTTTGCTCAGATCAAAGTCATGAAAGTTTTCTACTAGCTGCTTTTATTTAGTTCATGAAAGAACCTAGTGTCCATGATGATAAGCAGAAATGATTAAACATACATACTTTCTCTTTTCTTGTTCCAGCAACTGAGTTCTAAAACTGCTTAGCTACCATCACCCTTACAGATCATTTCTCCTGCTTGGGATGAGTGGTCAGATTTATCAGAAAAGGGTGCTGATATGAGATTTGGCTGTAATTCCAGAAAACAGTTAACTCTTGATATAAGTGAAACTCCAAAAATTCCATTAAGTCTTAGCAGTTTTAGGCTAGTTTCCTGAATTTGAATACCTGTCCTTACTTATGACAGGTATTTATTTGTCTATCTTTTTTTAATAAAATGAGTACTGTTTTTTAAAGGGAAAGACACGAGCCTGTTGTATTTGTTTACAACAGGCACTTCTCACTGTTATTGAAGACAGCTACCTGCAATAGCTGTTCAGGTTGCATATTCACCTCTCCAATGACAGTGGGGCTTTACAATGCACAAAACCACAGAGCCCAGTCTACTGTGAGGTTGAAAGTACATTATTTTTTTAAAGATTATTTCTGTATATGTAATGAATGGCTTGTACCTGATTAAGGAAATACCAGATTCCTACAAAAGCTAAGGAATAAAATTTCTACATAATCAAATCTGACAGCTCTAGAGGTTAGTAAGAAAGGAGAATTTTCATTAAATGTTATAACTGGTACTTACCAACAGCTAGTGGTGACCCTGCTTTTAGGGATGGAGATCTCTCAGTGTAGTTCCTTCTCTTCCTGGTTTCACTGCTTAGGACAGTGCTGGCAGAAGGTTTCTTTAAGATTTCCTCAATGGAAAAGGACAGGCTGGGCTTCCCCTGTCCAGCACAGCCCCGGGGGTCCATCATATTCCTGCCAAAGTGGCTGTGGGGCAGAGAGTCCTCTCCTGCTCTCCTGGCTCTCAGAGCACCCTGAGGAACATGCAGCTGGGATGGTGCGTGTCTCTCCCCACCCATGCCCGGGTGACCTGCTGGAGCACTGGGAGGAGAGACGAAGGCAACCCACAAGTAAGCACACACACCTGCTCCCCTCTGCTAATCAGGCCGGAACCAAGACCTGCACTCCTGTGTCTGGGGAAGACAGTATTAGAAGTGGGGATTAAAAGTCTTACTAACCCCACCCACTGCCAAGCATTTCCCCTACCACTCAGATTTACAGAGCTCTGAACAATCACATGGCCATTCCAGGAGGAGGTGTGCTCCTTGCAGACCCAGGTGAAAAATGCCCGGGGAAGGGTTGCTTCTTGCTGGTAAATCCTGTCTGTGGGGCAGTTATCTTCCTTTTACGCTTTCAGGCCGAAACCTGCAAAAAGCCCACTGGATTTGCACCATGATAAAGTTAAGAAATAATTGGCATGACAAATATTTATGCTTTGTGTCACTTACTAGTGAGAGAGACAACCTGTAAACTTCTCCTGCATACAGCTAGGTGTCACATATGAAAATCTCCCTCACAGCAGTTGCCAGGTTATTCTTCAGCCATCCCTCCCAACCATCAGCTTTGGTTCAGATTCTCTTCTACTTTGGAAACCCTTTGAACTTTCCAAGCAGGTGCTTTTCAACGTCATCCAATCTTATCAGTCAAAAAGAAAAAAAGAGATGACCCTTGCAACAGGTGTAGGAATCAGAATTAGTGCCCTCTACCTCCCACCTATGCAGATAAAACATTATTTCATTTCTATCCTGAGCTGTGAGGCAAGCCAGCTTGATAATCATCCCACCAGTTGCTTACGCCTCCCAGTTAGGCATCCACTGCAGGGGGAGAAGATTTCCGGGTTAATGCTGGTGAATACCAGCGATTCCTCTCCTGAGCCACTTCTATCTTCTTGTTAATTTTTATTTTGAGAAGAATGTGTGGTTAGAAACACTCCTGTTCTTTCCCACTCCCTCCCCCAAGTGGCTTTTTTGCCTTCTTTGGGGATTGCCCCTCACCTTTTAAATTGCTAAAGTTGCCTATCTCTCTCCTGTTGGTTCTCCTCTGCACCTTCCTTATCGGGCTCTTATAATTGTATTGGCAGGCCCTGCCTTATTTGTCCAGTGAACTGACAATTCTTGAGCTGATATCCCATCATATGACCTTTTCATGGAGTGGAAACCAAAATTACTGTGTAACCAGGGGGCAATAAACCACACCTGATAAGATGAAAGGCTTTCGGCTTTTTCCAGGTTCTAGATACTGGAAAAACAGTGGGGGTGGTGGGGAAAAGAACAATAGAAGAGGTTAAAAATGGTGCAGCCAGTCGTGATGAAGAATATTTAATTATCTGATTTTATTAATCAAACTTCTCCCCACGCAACAGGGTAGAAAAGCAAGCATCTTTCAGAATGATGACATTCACGGGGTAGAGTGGGAAGTGTTTTTCTCTGATCCTTTTGCATCCCTCTGCCGCTTTTATAAAGGAGGATCTTGTGCCTTCATGGTTGTGTGATGAGGCGGCAGCTGTTTGTGTGGGTGCAAAAGGTCTTGTGGCCCTCTCCAATAAGTAGGGAAATTGTTTCAATTAGTGCCTCTTTGGCCAAGCTTTGTCCTCTCCAACTTTGCTGCTGGTGTCTGTAATCCTGGCTGGGCACACGAAAAAGGATGTCTTGCCCTTCTTTGCTTGGGCAGAATGAGCGAGTGGGTAATTTATGGGATGAGAGTTAGGTAAGTGTGCTATCTGTATACAGAGGGAAGGGAAAGAAAGGTACTCTGAATCTACACCCTGGATTAAAACTGCCTATTTAATAATAGGTTTCCCCTTTTTTCCTTGTGATTCCTGATTCAAAGCCCATTAAAAAGCACGAGGAGAAACCTGGTGTATTCTTTTGCAAATGCCTTACTTTCCCTACTGCGTTTGCCTGAGGCTCTAAAAAGGGAGCCACTCTTCTTGGTTTTACTGGCCTCCTACAGAGCAAGGGCTTCAAATCTTACTCACTTCTCAGATGTCTCGAGAGTCCTTGACCCAGCCTTCAGTGTATTAATTTAGTATATATGACAATGTCTGAACTCCCTGATGTTTACTGTGCTACCTATTACCTGGAAGTTTCAGGCACAGCTCTAGGGACCTCTGTTTCATAAGTCTCCCTGCTGTCCACTTTTCCAAAGGTGCAAGAGTGAAACTCATGGATTTATCTGCTTCAGTTGTTAAATGAAGCAAGGCCACATTTTCCTTTGCAGTGGAAAGCTTTGGCTTTGGTTTGTTATTAAAACTTATGTGTTCAAGGAGCTAATTTCCTGCTACGGGGGGGAAGGAGGAGGATTTGACAGGAAAGTCTGATAGGTCCCAATACTCCTAATGAGGCGACTCATATCTTTGGGTAAATTAGCTGGGTAAATTAGCAAAGAGAGTCTCAGGGCAAAAAATACACCTCCTATCTCTTGTCCTTGCCCCAGCTCCACTTTTACTGCGTTAAACAGACACTGTTTTCAAAGGAAGAAACTTAGCCTTCTGGCAGAAATACATGTGCTTTCTTGTTGAAAAATTTCTGAAGTAAAGAGAGTTGAGACAGACAGATTCCAAGTTTTCATCTCAGTGATGAAATGATCACACTGGAAACACATAGCCAGCATATCCCCATGTTCAGAATGTGTGTGCTACCTGTCTCCACTGCCACCAACTTGCTCTGGGCAGGCACCTGCTGAGACAATCCTGTAGTCCCATGTCACAAAATCAAATTGTGCATGTTTGTATAACTATTCTGTCTCAGTCTGCAACTTTAAACCTCCCTGCTGCTCACAGCGACAAGTTGATTTTCTCTGCATGTTTAAATTAGATGCTCACATGCAAATTTACAACTTGAAAGCATCTTTGTGAAGGCTTTATTTTTGTTCTGTCTTATTATATTGTTCTTTTTTATTAAAACTGAAGACAATGCCAACTGAGAAATATATTTTTCTTCTTCTATATGGGAAAACAAAACAAGCACTAAAGTAGGAAACAGGATAAATAAACAGGATAAACTCTTGAAAGGGGATTTGAAAGCAGCAGTGTAAGGTTGCAGAAATCCCATGTTTCGTGTACAGAAGTTTCTCCAGAAAAAAATGTAGTTCTGATATCAAAATGTTTAAGTAGTACCAAAAGACTTGAACGTTTTAGTATTTTTAATACAAAAATAAAAAACCAGTGATAAATACTATTAACTAAAAAAAAAAATTAAATACTGTCTTTAGAATGACTGCTAGTTTGGAATTTCTTTGCTTTGTATTATGTTAAAATAAAGATGAGTGGCAAAAAATAGACGCTTGAAATGCAAATGAATGTTTTTCAAATTAAAATAGTTCACCTGACCCCCTTTTTCAAATGATTGAGTTGCTGAAATGTAACAAACTATTTATGTTCAAAACAAGAAATTATTTACTTTTAAATTACCAGAAAATGAAGAAGTTATTTTTCTGCCAAGTTCTAATATGATGACTTTTGCATGGTAGTTTGGGGATGTTTTTATATTTCTGCTTGACCTGGAAACGCAGATGACTCTCATTTGTTACAATTATTTGCTACCCGTCTAATTTATTCTATAAATTCCATGAGGCAGGAAACATATCTTCCTCTGGGATTGCTGAGCTCTGAAGGCAACTCTGTACAGCAGAAGGGAGCTGTCTAGAACAAAATCATGCCATGTTGATTTTCTCAGCTCATCCTCTCTGTGCCAAGCAGACCTAGAGGTTTACAAAACCTCTGAGATTTTTAAAATATTGAGTACTTTCAGAAAGTGAAAAACCCTGGATGTATAGACTTTAAATCAACGTGATATCAATACTTTGGAGTTTTTTGTCCAATAGCACCCATCTCAAATTGGAAGAAGAACTGTGTTTACACTGTCAGTCATGGAGCAGGACTGTTCCTACCCCACTGGTCTCTTTCACTAGATAAAGACAATAACAGGATGATATTCCACCTGGTGCCTCTCCTTTAATCTCCCATTCTCAAATGTGACTCAAAGTCAGAGCTGTCCAGTGTTTATGCACAGCATGGATGCTGCAGCTCACACCACCTCATCTCTGAGGGCTTGTGCTCAGTCAGCTGTTCAGAGCAAGTCAATGAGCTCGGGCAGTCAGAGACACCGGTCGTTGCCTGTGATGGTGCAGCTGCAAATTGCCCACAGCACCTCTGGATCCTCATGTCCCTGTAGATTGTCTTCCATCCTTTATGCCTTACTGGACTCCAACAATCTCCCCAGTGACATCTGAACTGCTCTGGTCGTCTCAAAGTTCAACAGCTGGGAGTGATCTAGCATAAAGCCCATGCAGCCTGCTCCTGGAGTCCCTTTCACCTCAGATTTATTAGCCCTGTTGTCTCTGCAGATTTCTCAACAAGCTCATAAATTAGAAATATTAATAAAAGGGATACTTTAGGTTTAAACTGATAACATTTATTATGATTTTTTTATGGCACAGTTATTATCAATTGACATTTTAAATGGCATCATAATCCATAAAAGTGAAATGGACTCAGAAAAATATTTCTCCCAAGCCAAAAATAATAGCAACAGCAGCAGGAGTGCAGGAGAGGAAGGACACAAACAGTTTGAGCCCAGGTCATTGATTTCATACTTTGGAGGAGTTTTTTAGCAACTTTGTCCTCTGCTTAATCCATTCTTATATTTTGTAGTGCTTTTTCTCCCCTACTGGGCCCCTCATGCCCTTTGTAGAAGTTTTTCTATAAAAAATCTTTAGTTAATCCATGATGGGGAGCATTTTGCTTCGAACAGAGCAGGAGCTGTTATACGTGGGAAGGGCTGGAGACATCAAAGGTTGTCCTTTTCATAACAATTCAGACCTCTCTGAGCAGCAATTGCCATGGAGAATTGTCCAGCATGGCTATAAATTAGCTTTATTCTTGTACTGTTTGGCTGATGGAAAGTTAAAA